ACATAAACTTTGAATAAAGATTTCCATTTTTTTAAAGATTTTTTTTCTTAAGTATGTTGAGGCTCTAGAATCAAAAAGATATTAAGGCCTCTTCCTGTCTAGCTTAGCAAGAACACCATTACACATTCTTGACTGTTCCAGGTCTCATCAAAATATTTTAAAAGGGCACAGGTACTCACACACCACACAAAAGTAAACATTTTTTCCAAGAAGCATGTATCATATTGTTAAGTATGCGGTATTTCATCAGTCATTTTTAAAGGTCACCTAAAATCCAGTATCTGAATGATGGAGGCAAGAAAGAGCACTTAGGTTCAAGAGAAGCCAGAACCCCACAATGGCTAAAACAAAGTAAGAAAATGTAGGGGTTTTTTGTTTGTTTGTTTGTTTTGCTGTACGCGGGCCTCTCACTGTTGTGGCCTCTCCCGTTGCGGAGCACAGGCTCCGGACGCGCAGGCTCAGCGGCCATGGCTCACGGGCCCAGCCGCTCCGCGGCATGTGGGATCTTCCCAGACCGGGGCACGAATCCGTGTCCCCTGCATCGGCAGGCGGACTCTCAACCACTGCGCCACCAGGGAAGCCCAGAAAATGTAAAAACAAAGTAAGAAAATGTAGTTTTTATATTTCCAGCTATTTCATTTTAGAACTAGAATTAACAATGAGGAAGAAGAAATGATTAACAATGATTGAAAGAAATACTCTTTTACAGCTGCAAATACATTTTCAGTTCTTGTCCAGAGAACACTGCTACTTGGTAAAAATGGGATGAGAGCTCTTATGAAAGAGGAATTTCAGGATGGAAAGATGATTTTTTTTTCAAATTTGAAGTTTATTCTTTAATGAGTTTTTTATTTTATCAGTTTTAGATTTATTTTTAAAAGTACAAAGAACAAGCACAGTCCCCATATATCCCATACCCAGTTTGCCCTACAACTTACATTAGTATATTTGTCACAGTTGACACATTATTATTAACTAAAGTCCAGACATTAACTAAACTACTCAGATTTCATTAGTTTTTCTCTAAAGTCCCTTTTCTATACCAGGTTACTACATTAATTTTAATCATCATCCTTAGGCTTCTCTTGACTGTGACAGTTTCTGAAGACTTTATTTATGTTGGCCTTGAGAGTTTTGAGGAGTACTGGTCAGGTGTTTTGTTGAAAGTCTGATTTATCTCATGTTTTTCTCTTCGTTAGACGGGGGTTATGGGTTTCGGGGAAGAAGGTCACAAAGATGCCATTTGCATCACACCACGTACCAAGGGTGCATACTATCAATGTGACTCATCACTGTTGATGTTAACTTTGATCTCCTTGCCGAGGTCACGTTTGTCAGATTTCTCCAATGGAAATTTACTTTTTCGCCCTTTCCATACCGTCGTCTTTGGAAGGAAGCTCACGCTTGAGGAGTGTGAATATGAACAGCTCACATTTAAGGAGTGAGGAGTTACGCTCTACCACGTTAAGGGCAGAGTATCTATATAACTTGGACTTCTTTTGCACCATGGATTTGGCCATTCTCCTCCATTTGTTTATTTAAGTCAATCACTGTTTTATATTAGTATGGACTCATGGATATTTATTTTATACTTTGGGTTATCATCCAAAACTATTTTTTGTTTTGTTACTTTTTTTTTTAGCATCTTTATTGGAGTATAATTGCTTTACAATGGTGTGTTACTTTCTGCTTTATTAAAACTATTTTATTTTGTTGCTCAGTCTGAGTCATTAGGAGTTCTTTCAGATGGCTCCTTGGACTTTGACAGACACACGTAATTCCAGGTTCTTGCTGCTGCTGTTTGAGCATTTCCTTATTTTCTGGCACTATAGATGCTCCAGCTTCATCTTGCATGTGGCCTGCCCCAGTCCCAGCCGTTTCTCCAAGAAGCCCTGGTTCCTTTACTGGAGAATATATTAGAAGCCAAGATCCAGGTGCTAGGGTACACTCACTGCTTCTAAACCCACTCAGCTGACAAACAAGGAAATATATGTGTGTATGCTATCACTTGCAAACAACCATATCTATAATTATTTCTATATGCAACCATCTGTATCTATAGTATGCTAAACATGAGTTCATAGTGATGTCTCCAATTCTAATCCATTTCCACATGGATCATTCTAGCCTCCTCCCCTTGCTCATCTGTAATCTCCCACTTCAGCAGTGAGAAACCTGGCTCCCATCATCTGCATCCATTTACTAAATTGCTCAATTCCAGGATACATGTACAGTGGTGCCAGGATTGTTAACCTGTACCCCCATGGGAAACAACTCTATCAACTACAGTACAGTATTTATGTACAGTTCCTTTTGCCTTTAGCCTTACAGATTCAACTCATTTCCAAAGTTACTTAGGTCAGTATCTTTTTCCTCTACTCCCTTCAGGGAGGTTGTTTCATACATTTTTAATATAGCTAGATTGTTCTGTCACATTTTACATTTCATCCCAGGATCCTCTGACCTCTTAAGTGATTATCTATTTACATATTATCAAACAAAATAACAAGTTTTATTCTCAACAAAGGGTAGGATGAGAGTGGGAAGGGGAGACACCACTGATGGAACTTGAAAGGAAAAGTACCAGTTTAGAGCTTTTCTTAAGTTTCTGTCTAGTATCTGCTTAAAAATAGAAGTTTATTGAAAGCTAATATAATTTGTTTTTTTAAATGTATTGAAATCTTTGCATACAATAAAGGACATGGTAAAAATCAAAAGTAAGAAACATAGCTCCCTTTCACAATTAACACATGGATTTTTGTAGGAGCATTCAGTAACTTTATTCAATTTTCCTACTTGTAAAATGGGAATAAAAAGTTTCTCATCCAGACTAAGAATTTATAGTAGGCACATGGATAGTATTCTGCCATTCAAGGATAAAAATGCAACCACTACTTTAGTTTAATAAACGTAGACTCTATGCCCTGAAGAAAGTAAGCTCTACCCAGTTATATTTTTCACACAATTGTGAAATTTTACATTTTCACACAATTATATTCATAAAGCATTGTAACCCTGATGATTACTATTTGCTCATATCACTAAGCAATTATTTCTCTCTAGTAACCTGGGATCCTTGGGCATTTTAAGTCCTTACAGTATCCAAACAGTTACCAGTATATACCTAGATTTATTCTTAAGCATGTGGGAAAATTTATAGAGATTTTGTGGCCATTCGTGGAAGATTATCTTGACTGTAATAAAATTCCCCCAAAAAAAAGGAAAAAAAAAAGGAGAAAAAAAATCTTTGAGGATGAAAAAAAAAATTTTATCCCTGTAAGACTGCATAAATGCCATTTATTTACTAACATATAATCACAAACTTCCAAAAATACAGCTTAAACTCCTGCTGTGATCATGTGTTTTACTGAATTTTCAGAAAAGGAGACATCAAGAGTAAATTCAAGTCAACCTTTCAGGAGCAAAATGTGCCCACGGACCTTCTGAGTTTCTTTAAGGAAACAAGCATTTATCAATAACTCATTCCTACTCAACATTTTACATGCAGTGTAATTCACAAGTCTAATCTCTTTCTTTGTAGTTAGCACTGAGAAGAAAGCCATGTTTGAGGCCATTACTGAGAATTTCTTCTAAATACTGTTGATAGTTTCTTCTTTCCCATTATTCTAATTCAAAAATGAAATATCTGAGAGTAGAATATCTAGAATTTCCTAGTTAAATATTCAGAGACAGTATATTGTCAAATCTTACTGAAAAGCCCAACTTCAATAATTTCAAAAAAATTTGAAGATACAGTAGGAACACCTATTTCTTTCCCTCACAGACTCCCAAGAAGATCAAATAAGTTATTCTATAGATAAGTCACTATGCTTTTGTACTGATGTAAATTTGCACCACCCCTGCCCTATCCCAAAGGCTGCCTCAGACTCCAGCAGAAATGACAGGAAGCAAACTCATTCTGAGCAGGGAGGGAGACCAGAGCAGGAGGTAAGATTAGAGGCAAGGAACAGGATAATGAGAGCTCAAAGTCAAAGTGGTGCTTTAAAATATATAATCTAAAAGGTTTTTTGGGGGGTGAGTTGGGGGAGAGACGTAAGCAATTTACCGAGACCACTGCCTCCATTAAGGGAGTCCAATGCTATAAAAGAAGGAGCTGAAAACAAGCTCACAGAGATGAACACTCCTCCAACCAAGATCTGCTATAATTATTGTATTGCTTTGCAGTACATTAGCACAAAGAAATAGGTAGAATAATGAGGAATCAATAAAGTTTGATTTGAAAATTCTCAAATTCTAAAAGCCCTGAACAACTGTTAGAGGACAGGCAAGAAGAAAAGAACAAATGACTGCCTAAATACCCACCCTCTGAACATCGATGCCTCATCAATTCCTTCTCCCCACACAAAAAATCAGCAGTCTCCTTGGTGTCAGATACCCAGAATCATGGTCAAAGAGGCAAGTGTGGACTCAGCAGGACTGACTGTCACCCTCAGAACCAGATCTTTCCAGTGTTTGAGGGTTCATATTACATAATAACTGACCAAGTCCAGGGAGGCATTGCTGCCAAGAGACAGGTACAGTAAGAAAGCCACAAAGCAGAGCTGGTTTTATTTGGAAGCACTTTGCCAGGCTTCACACCAACCCAACTTGGCAGCCATGTAATCCCTCAGGGGGAATATGAAGGAACTTTGACAAAGTATTTTCTCAAAGATACATATCGTTTCCATCTACAGTACTGGAAGTTGCCAGCAGAGATCTCAACAGAGAGCTAGGCTCGGCATTTAACCATTAAACCTGACTTTCAGTCTCCTAACTCAGAAATACAGGGGCTTAATAAAGTAATCTTTTCATCCTGACTTAAGGGAAGTAATCCTATTAAGAGTTCAGCATGCCTGGGAATTTACCTGCTTCACTGTGGGTCAAAGGATTTAAGGTTAGATGGGTAATGCCACAATAAAGAGGAGTGTCTTTACATAGACTCACCTCCCGGGTGTGTAAGATTAATGGGCAGGGGACTGCAGAGTGCCCAGATAACCTACCTGCCACTCTGGTCTGAGGTCCACGTAACTGATCGCCCCTGGGGTTTGGTTGTGTACCGTATCCTTATGGCATGAGGAAAGTCAGTAGCTGTCTGAACCCCTGTCTTCCTGATCTGTAAGCTCCAAGTGTCAATGTCAAACAGGAGTTCCCCACAACCAGGAGCCTGGCTGCAGCGAGCATAATAGTCTAACTGCTCGCTCCAACGATCTGCAGGCAGAGCCACGAGTTCACGTACAATCTGATTCCTGAGCTTGGGAGACCTTGTAAATTTTTCAATACCTGGCACAGCAGCAACATCCACCTCCTCAACCTTTAACACAGATAAATCACAGCAGTCCAACACTAGCAAAAAATCCTCACTCCCATGATTCCCTGTGTCACAGCAGTACTTTGAGCTAGAAATCCCAGAAGCCTGTTCCTGGTTGTCGTGGTTACCATCTTTACCAGACGTATCTTTTTCACCTTTACCACAGATTACAAAATCATTATATCCCATTTTAGATGAGACGGTCCTTGTATTTGTTACAGGAATACGGCAGGGTTCAGGCGTCCTAAATTTGCAGGCTTCGTTTGACTCTGATGGGTAGGTTTCCTCGGTGGAACTACTCTGTTTCTTGAATTTATTTCCAGACTCGAAGAAAAGCACTATGGTGCCCTCAATGATTTGACTTTCGAAATCCACATCTAAATCCAGTACATAGTGCTTCACAAGTATGTGGCTGGTGTTGGCCATGAGAGGCAGGTCATCTCGGGAAGGATCCAGCTTTATGTCCATGGTATAGGTGTTGTTCGAGAACTTTGTTAAAATCTCAGAAGGGGCTTCCTGTCAGTCCCAATCTTCCAGAGTCATAAATGGCTGCTTACCAAAAAACACCCGATGTCACAAATTAGGGTTCCACAACTTTCAGTCCCCTGGTAAAGAAGAAAAACACAATCACACAAAATTCCAAACAAGACCCTTTGCTCCTGCAACTGCTGCTTCTGCAAGTTGACTACCTCCTTAAATAATTCCCCAATGTAGTAGAAGCTCATGGTTAGAAGGCAGACTAATCTTTTTGACTGACATCAAAGAAAATTACATTATGGGTTTCTAAAAATATTTCAATTATCAATGGAATGAAAGGGGCCTCCACAAAACCAGAAGAAAGAATCATGTTCCTAACTAGAACAGTCCTTGTTTCGGAAAAGAGCAATTGTTAGGCAAAAGTGTAACATCACTGTACCTCTTGTTTTAAAAGATATTAAATGTATCGTTTCTAATTTTGTGCACCAAAAGAAAAGGGATTGTTTCTCTACTGTGATTCTAAGTAACAAATGTGAACGAAGGCTAAATGGTCTCATATGTTTTATTCTTTGAGAGTAATCATTTAATACATACAATGTAACTCCAGGGATTATTGTACTTTTCACATTAGGACTGCTCTCATATCAGCACTTCCAGTAAATTACAGGAAAATGAGCCAATTTACCAAGAGTGCATTCTAAGTATTCCTTTGAGATTGTTCATGGAGATTTTTCAAATTTATAGTTAAATACTCAAGGTATATCATTACATCTTAATAGCTGAAAGCCCATTAACATTCTGGATAATAGCCTTCTTGTGGCAAACGAAAAGGTCTTCTCATCTGAAAAAAAAAAAAAAAAGGTATGCAAATGCCTATAAAAGGAAGGAGAGAAATTAAAACGTGGAAACAGATGTTGTAATAAAATGCTCAAGTTCTTCATAAAAGTTCTGATCAAAATGTAGTCCCATTTTATAACAGCAATCCAGCTAAAAGAAAAATTATTTGAAATTATTTCAGTCCCTGTTGTGTACCTAATTTCTTTCAGCATATTCCTTTTTAACCAAAAGTGGAAAAAAAAAATGGCAGGGAAAAAGAAACAAAAACTCTGACAGAGTAGATTTATTTAAAATCACTTTTGTATTTCTAAATATCAAGAGGTATTCTTTTATCAACAGCAAAACAACATTACTTGTTTGACTTTTCAGGTAAAATTGAGCCCTCCCTTTTTATTGTTTAACTCCTCCTCACTTCCCTTCTAACTTTTTCAGCCCATCTCCTAGACTCTTATTTCCTTTCCTTCTAGAATCTCATTCCAACAATCAAAACTATTGAACTTTCATTTTCTACCTCTCCACAGGCTATTTCCTCATCAAAATCTCACCTATCCTTAAAAGAAGCTGGCTTCCTGCAGCCTTGTACAATCTGGTTTCAGGCTATTTTTTCCAGTCATGGAGACCACACTCCCTTTGAATCCTTGTCCTCTAGTCAAAGGGCCTGCTCAGCACACTGCTTCCTAAAGATGACCTGACATCTTGCCTCCATGCTTTTTGGAGGCAAGTAGTGTGCCACACCTGGAGTGCTCCTGGCTCCCACCTCCCATATCCACCTGCCAAATTCTCTTCTCCCTCCACACAGTTCAAGTCCAATTGCCTCCTTTCCTGCTCCCTACTCTCCCTCCCCCATCCCCACCAAACTGTATGTGGTAATACACACTTTGACTTTAAGAATGATAGGAATTGAGAGAAATCAGGGATGTAAAAGAATAGCCTGAGATTACTTTAAGGAGAAGCTGGCACTCACTTTAATCCTAGAAAAGTCAATGGGCAAAGGGAATAAGCCAGGGTATTTTCTTTTCTGCATGAGAACAATTGAACTTGTCACATAATGAATAATAAACTACAATAAAGCTACTGGCTATATCTATGTAATTGGAAACAATGGATGTTAAAACTTCATCCTGCTGGTGTTTGGAGCTGCTGTAATGCATCATTTTGTTGACTGGGCTATTAAAAAATTTTTTTAATAAAAAAAAACTGAATACACACATGAGGAAAAGCCTGAATCAATTAAGACAAGGGTTAACTTTGTGGCTGTCTAAACTATCAAATTTGAAAAAGAATACTTTAGTATTTCTAATAATATAGATAAAACCATTTATTGTCTAACCCTAATAGATTCCTTCATTTACTTGTGAAAGTTAATATAATTTAATAAAATATATTCTATACAGTAGTTTTCATCACTTCTGTCCCTGGTGGCTGTCCCTAGGCTGCCTTAGAGCCCTGCCCATCCAAGACTGTTAATGTCACTTTGTTTGTCAACCTAACTGGAAATCCTTTTGTCCTCTTCAGTAGATTTTTTTTTTTTTAAATTGAAGTCTAGTTGATGAACAATATTATATAAGCTACAGGTATACAATTCAGTGATTCACAACTTTTAAAGGTTACACTCCATTTATAGTTATTATAAAATATTGGCTATATTCCCTGTGTTGTACAGTATATCATTATAGCTTATTTTATACATAATTGTTCATACCTCTTAATCCCCTACCCTTATGTTGCCCCTCCTCCTTCCTTCTCCCTACTGATAATCACTAATTTGTTCTCTATATCTGTGAGCCTGCTTCTTTTTTGTTATATTCACTCATTTGTAGAATTTTTCAGATTCTACATGTAAGTGATCTCATACAGTATTTGTCTTTCTCTGTCTGACTTATTTCACTTAGAATAATACCGTCGAAGTCCACCCACATTGTTACAAAAGGCAAGATTTTCGTTCCTTTCTATGGCTGCATAGTATTCCATTGTATATGTATACCACATCTTCTTTATCTGTTCATGGACATTTACGTGGCTTCTGTATCTTGGTAAGTGTAAGTAATGCTGCTAAGAACGCTGGGGTGCATGAATCTTTTCCAATTAGCATTGTTGTTGTTGTTGTTTGAATATATACCCAGGAGTGGAATTGCTGGGTCATATGGTAGTTTTATTTTCAGTTTTTTGAGAAACTTACATACTGTTTTCCACAGTGGCTGCAACAATTTACATTCCCACAACAGTGTACAAGGGTTTCCTTTTCTTCACATCCCCTCCATCATTTGTTATTTGTGTTCTTTTTGATGACAGCCATTCTGACAGGTGTGAGGTGATATCTCATTGTGGTTTTGATTTGCATTTCCCTGACGATGAGTGATGTTGAGCATCTTTTCATGTGCCTGTTGGCCATCTGCATTTCTTCTTTGGATAAATGTCTATTCAGGTCTTCTCTGCCCATTTTCTAATCAGGTTGTTTGTTTGGTTTTGTTGTTGCTGCTGTTGTTGGTTTTTTGATTTGGGTTTTTTTTTTTTTTTTTGATGTTGAACTGTATGAGCTGTTTATATTTTTTGGACATTAACCCCTTATCAGTCACATCATTTGCAAATATTTTCTCCCATTTAGTAGGTTTAGTAGGTTGTCTTTTTTTGTATTTTTTCCTTTGCTGTACAGAAGCTTTTAAGTTTAATTAGGTCCCATTTATTTATTTGTGCTTTTGTTTCCTTTGTTTAGGAGATAGAGCCAAAAGAACATTGCTGTGATTTATGTCAGAGTGTTCTGCCTGTGTTTTCCTCTGGGAGTTTTATGGTTTGGGGTCTTACGTTTAGGTCCTTAAACCATTTTATTTTTGTGTACAGTGTTAGAGAATGTTCTGATTTCATTCTTTCACATGTAGCTGCCCAGTTTTCCCAGAACCACTTATTGAAGAGACTTTCTTTTCTCCCTTGTATATTCTTGCCTCTTTTGTTGCAGACTAGTGACTTTATTTCTGGGCATTCTATCCTGTTCCATTTGTCTATATTCTGTTTTTGTGCCAATACCATTCTGTTTTGATTACTGTAGTTTTGTAGTATAGTCTGATGTCAGAGAGTGTGATTCCTCCAGCTCTACTCTTCTTTCTCGAGATTGTTTTGGCTATTTGGGGTCTTTTGTGTTTCCATACAAATTAAAATTTTTTTTGTTCTAGGTCTGTGAAAAACACCATTGGTATTTTGATAGGGATTGCATTGAATCTGTAGATTGCCTTGGAAATTATGGTCATTTTAACAATATTGATTCTTCCAATCCAAGAACATGGTATAGCTTTCCATCTGTTTGTGTCATCTTCAATTTCTTTCATCAGCGTCTTATAGCTTTCAGAGTGCAGGTCTTCTGCCTCCTTCGGTAAGTTTATTCCTAGGTATTTTATTATTTTTGATGTTATGGTAAAGGGGATTGCTTCCTTAATTTCTCTTTCTGATAGTTGTTAGTGTATAGAAATGCAACAGATTTCTGTATATTAATTTTATATCCTGCAACTTTCCTGAATTACTAGATGAGTTGTAGTAGTTTTCTGGCATCTTTAGGATTTTCTACAAATAGTATCATGTCACCTGCAAATAGTGACAGTTTTACTTCTTCTTTTCCAATTTGGATTCTTTTTATTTCTTTTTCTTCTCTGATTGCTGGGGCTAGGGCTCCCAATAATATGGAAATGCTTTCAGCTTTTCACTGTTGAGTATGATGTTAGCTGTGGGTAGGTCCTATATGGTCTTTATTATGTTGAGATATGTTCCCTCTATGCCCACTTTCTGGAAAGTTTTTATCATAAATGGATGTTGAATTTTGTCAAAAGCTTTTCTGCATCTATCGAGATGATCATCTGGTTTGTATTCTTCAATTTGTTAATGTGGTGTATCACACTGATTGATTTGCAGATATAGAAAAATCCTTGCATCTCTGGGATAGATCCCACTTCATCACTGTGTATGATCCTTTTAATGTATTGTTGGATTCAGTCTGCAAATATTTTGTTGAGGATTTCTGCATCTAGGTTCATCAGTGATATTGGCCTGTAATTTTCTTTTTTTGTGATATCTTCATCTGGTATTAGGGTAATGCTGGTCCCACAGAATGCGTTTGGAAGTGTTCCTTCCTCCACAATATTCTGGAATATTCAGAGAAGGATAGGTATTATAACTCTTCTCTAAATGTTTGGTAGAATTCACCTGTGAAGCCATCTGGTCCTGGACTTTTGCTTGTTGGAATTTTTTAAATTACTGACTCGATTTCATTACTGGTAATTGGTCTGTTCATATTTTCTGTTTCTTCCAG